AGCCAACATGACTGGAGGAGGAATTCTGGGAGTTGAAGTCCACAAGTCTTAAAGCTGCCAAGCTTTAAGTCCCCTGGGTTTTTTTTTCTAAAGGGTTAGGGGTGCAATGCTCTTGTAACTTGACAGCTTTAAGACTTGCACACTTCAATGCCAGAGTTCCTGAGCCAACATGACTGGAGGAGGAATTCTGGGAGTTGAAGTCCACAAGTCTTAAAGCTGCCAAGCTTTAAGTCCCCTGGGTTTTTTTTTCTAAAGGGTTAGGGGTGCAAAAGGGTCTTGTAACTTGACTGCCAAGCCATATCTGTGCTGGATTGCTGTCCAAGCTTGTCTGTGCCAGTTTGCTGCCCAGGACCTGTCTGTCTGTTAATTAAATGCCGTAACTTAACTTTGGCTCGGAGTGTGTGTTGGTGTGGGACGAGGAGGGTCAGAATAGATCCCCTAGCTTACTATATTCCTGCTTAGAAGTTTTAGCACAATCGGTGCAGTCAACTTTTCTTCTATCCCAAACTGAGAAGGGATCAGTTTCTCTAATGCTTATCACTCCCTATGCATGCCCACTTGGACTCTGAAGACCATGTGAAAAAATGATCTGTTTTTTAAAACCTTGTTCCCAAGTTCCAGTAGGAAGAGAAATGCTAATCACGCAGATGTGTTGTCTCTATTATACTTGGTCTTACATAATAGCCATTTAAAGTGATTGTTCCCTGTCATCTTGCATTTTCAGGCTAAATCTGAAACCTTAAAATGTAATTTTCCAAACAACCTGCCCCCAGTCATCTCAGAGAACAGCTTTCCAGGAAAAAAGTTGTTTGATTTATTTCTTTAAAGCCTATTCTCCATAATCTGACTTGAATAGTTTTTCAGTGTTGATGTTTTCTGAGCTTCGTTGTTTTCCTGTAGATGTCTGACTCGGTTTTCTTTCAACTACTTCATAAGTCAAAATGCTACTAAATATTCTTAGACGCTACTTTGAAATTCATTTAAAATCAGTAAAATAAGACCACGAGCTTTCTAGGCAATGATGACTTGATAGCACCTTGATCCAAAGACTGGGCTTCAGAATGGATGACAGCAAAGAACTAGCTTTTTGTATCTCAGTTGGCATCTAGAATTCTGTAGGCCAAATCTGGCCTTAGTTTTACTCTTAAAAGTTATGTTGGGAAATGAGACTTTGAAAAATAATACTAAGACATTATTCCTGGGTGGCGCAAGCGATCATTCTGGAAACACCACTGTTTTAAAGTTGGTTCAAAGTGAAGGAAGTTTTATATAAATCCCAGTTCAGGTTGGACTAGAAGACTTCCGAGATCCCTTCCAACTCTGCTATTCTGTATTCTGAATCCCACAGAAAACATTCCTGTAGATTCATCACTCTTTATATGTAATATTTTTTTTGAGAAAAATTTTTATAGGTTTAGTTAAACAAAAAAACAAACAAAAAAAATCAGCTTTCGTTACATCTTGTTGAAAGCCTATCGATTGGTTAAAAATATATTCCGTGCGTTTCTTCCACAGTCCTTACGTCTGCTTCATTCAAATCAGGTTGTGCATTTTAAGTCAAGAAAGAAAAGTTATGTATTTTACTATCCCTGTACCATAATTCTCATTTAGTTACCATTGTTTAAACATGCTTTTTTTTTAAATCTAGAATCATTTATATTAGAAGACACAACCACCTACT